CAGATTCTGCTGACGTGTTGTCAAATGATCAAGCAAATACCAACACTTCCAGCCCAATGAAGGTTATCTTTGACAAGGGAGTGCACTCTGATTTGTCAGATTGTGKGCTTAGTGTTTTGGTGCAGGAGAAGCTAATGAATAACCCAGTTCCTATGAATTTCCCAGAGAACAATCACAAGGATCTGTCTGTCCATATGTCTAATAACAAACATCAGAGGAAGAACCAATTTAGCCGGAGAGTGAAACCTGGCCACTCAAACTATTTAGCTCCTGTCACAAAACGGCGGAGATTAAYTGCTTGTAGTCGCAGTTTGAACAATTTCTCTGTAGCTCCAGGACAGGAGGAGCCCCATTGCCAGTCAGACTCACCTGATGGAAGTGAAAACATGGTTTCTCAAATGGGTATGTCTCTGGATAAGGCATCATCTACTAGCTCTTCTGCCAAAGACAATCCGGACAAGTGCTGCGACGCCATCTGCAAAGGCATTCCTGGCCAGAACTTTTTCGGCACAGAACTACCTCATGAGAAACCAAAACCCCGGACATTGATTGACCTGAACCTACCCATGTCCCACCGGATTTTGAAATTGATGAGCCCTTTTTCATGGAGGTGACAGACAGCCAGGATGACCCAAGTCAAGGGGGTCATCCATTCCATCTGAAAGACAAAACATGGAGGAGTCAGAGGTGTTACAAACCTCAAACAACATTGCTACTACAGAAGAGCAGCATATTGCAAATGCTAGGAGGCATGGCACTAGAAACCGGCCATTGACCACTAGAGCCTTGGAAGTTCTTGCTTCTGGTTTCTTTAACACTAAACGGAGGAAGAGGAGCCCTGATGCTCTGTCGCATGAGAGCTCAATATCATTGTAGCCGTGTTTCATTTTCTCATCATTGACAAGAAAAATGAAGAMAATGACAAAAGCTTTATTGAATTGGCATTCTAATTTTATCTTTATTTTTGCAAATTAGTTTTTTTTTTGTTTTTTATTCCCTTGATATTACCAAAATTTCCTGTGTCACTCATAATGCACGTTTTCATAGCCAAATGTCTCTAACTGTGACTATTGCCGACACTTTTAGCAGCTTCACTGAGCTTATTACAAGAATTTTATCTTCTTGATTTCCAAAGTAGATATCTATGGTTTTTCTTAAGCCTTAAGAGCAGTTTGTTATAATTTAGTCCACCTGTTCTGTTAATTGGTTTGGTAGATCGGTTCCCCCTTGTGAATATTCAGCCATTGTACCTTGCCTGCGCTCAACTGATATATATAGCATGGATTAATCCTACAAATGTTATTTCATTTGGATAAACTCCATCTTTTCTCATATCAATGAAGAGAGAAATAGCATCATTTTCATTTATAGAAATCATGGTTGTCCATGAAATTACGTACATTGCGTTCAATCATGCTCTCAAACACCATGTTAGAATCCTCAACCACCTCACAATTTTAATACATTGAGATCAGAACCTTACAAACTAAAACATGAGTCCCATACCCAGATCTCAAAACTAGACCATGCATTTGTCTCCCAAGTTCCAAGATTTTTTCATGGCCACAAGTTGAAATAATGACCCATGACTCTAAGGAAAAAATAATTCAGCCTCCATATCGCTTTTAAAAACATTTGATGTACCCATGCAAATGCATGGGGCTATCCTAATGGATGGAAATGGGGTAGATTTGGGAGGGTTTCATAAATTCTAGACCTTACCCACATCCCTAAACCTTCTAACCCGTATCTGCTCCAAAACCTGTAGCGGGTTGGATTTTTAAGAATCCAAACCCTCCACACACATATATAAATGCAAAATCCTCCCTGAACCTAACCTCCCCGCATTCAAGAGTGGGGCAGGTTGGATTTAGAACCCACATCTAATTTTCTCTTATTGCTTGTTATATATAAGCAATAAATAAGTAAAATAACATAAACAAACWGTAAAATTTCCAATTATTTGATTAAGACATGTAAAAAATACATAAACTATCAATTATCCTTACATAAAATTCAAATTATTATTAAATCCAATATCTAATACATAAAGCTCATATGCTTTCCAACAACATGTGGGTGGAAAGGATTGGATTTAGCCTATTACCATACCCTATATATCCATACCTGTACAGATTGTAGAATCCCAAAACTCGCCTCCTCCCCAAAATCTGTATCTGTCTTTCAAGCAAAAAAAAAAAAAACCACCCTATCAAGGCAGGTATGTGGATACCCATGGGTAGGGCATCCTAGCTCTTCTGCTATTTCCTCTTTTTTTAAGTAAATCTCGTAAACAATATACTAGCTACAACTAGGGGTGATTATTTTAACCCGGCCCAGCCCAGCCCGGAAAATCTAGTTTTGGGCCTAGGATTTTTGTTAAGGCCCGGCCCGCATCAGGCCCACAAAATTTAGGGCCGGGCTTGGGCCTAGTTTTTTAGGCCCGGCCTGGATATTTATAAATAATATAATATATAATATATATAATAATATAATATAATATATATATATATATATATATCTTTATGTATATATGTTATTTAAAAATATTTGATAATTGATGTTTTATATATTAAATAGAGATTTGTAGGAAATTAAAGATTTTAATCCTACAGCCTTATATCTTACCAAATTCTAATCTAGTAGTTAATGGAATATAGAAATTACTACACCTTAATCTTCTCGGTTGTCTCTCTCTCTCTCTCACCAATTTTACAAAACCATCGCCGATTCGGGGGGAAGTGATGAACCTTATCGTTTGGAAGCGTCATCTTCCAACTAACGCGGAAACGAGTCCTATCGTGACGAAGATCCCGAAACTGATCCGCGAAACCCGCGAGGACTCGACTATATAAAGGCTCCACCCTCGGAGGTTCAAGGTACGCGTGATTATTCTGCTCTCTTGCTCTCTACACTCTAAAGCTTTCTAAGCTCGCAACAGTCTACTGATTTAAGCATCGGAGCGACCACGCCGTGCTAGAAACCCCGGGTTCTCTGATCATTTTGCAGATCAACTTTGTCTGTCGTCCGCCTAGAAGCCAGATCACCTCTAGCAGGGAGCAGCTAGATCGCGCTACATTATTTGACGCTGTCTGTGGGAATTGCTACAAAAAACCTTTTTTCCCCCATTTATCACATAATCAAATCCATGGAATCCTCCAGCAACGCCGGACAAAACAACGAAGCGAACGTCTCCGGGGGGCAGCCTCAGTTCCCGTCTGTGTGCATCGGTTAGTTCACCATACCGCTTACTGTGGCTGGGGTCCCAACGGTGACCATGCCTCAAGTGACTACACAGGTAAACGCGCCACTCCCCCAGTTGGCGTGACCTTCGCTGAACCGTCTGTGGTTCCCTCTGGAGTCGGGCAATCCCAGCTTGACGACCTGGTACACTGTGTCCGGGCCATTCAGGTCCAAATGCAACAGGTCCAATAGTATCAACACTATCAACAGCAAGTCCTCCATCATTTCTACCAGCAACAATATCAGCAGCAATTCCCTCCTCTGCAACAAAATCAGCAACCGGTTCCACCCCGAAACCCAGAGATATAGAACCAATCTCGTCAGCAGAACACTCGCTCTCCCCGTCGAGGCGAGACCACCCAAGTTCCACTTCCTCTTAGGAGTCAGGTCTCGTCCCGCGGCAGGAGGGACAGACAAGTCACCCCGCCCGCTTCACAGGGCAACATGGCGAACAGGTCAGGAGATACTCAGCCCGCCAGAGCCATTTTACCCCGGCCCTCGCATCATGAAGGTTCGCTTGCAAGGAACCGGTTCGGGGTTCTGGACGCAGACTCAAGGCGAGGCCCTTCCGTCCAAGGCAATCAGCCTCAGCAACCAGAGCCACTCCGCGCCAAAACGGTACCCGAACACACAGAGGTCAGTAGCACCAATGTGGAGCTGATCAAGAAGCAGCAACGAAGGCGTCGCAAGGCACGCCGAACTATAGTTCTTAGCGAGCTCACCGGGCCCAGCCAGCCAAAGCAGGTAAAAGGTAAAGAGGAGGTGAGCTCAGTAGACACAAAGACCCCTCATCTCCTCTCCGAGTCATCCCCTCTGTCCTCCGAGCTCCCGGCGACCCCGATGCCGAAGGACTTCAAAATACCTCTGTTGGACAAATACGATGGATCTTTTGATCCAAACGATCATGTGGACTTCTTCCAGTCCCAGATGCACCTAGCTGGGGCTGACGAGTCCTACATGTGCGTGGCCTTCTCCACAACGTTCAAAGGAGTAGCTCGCACATGGTACAGGAACCTCGTGCCAGGGACATTCAAAAGCCGGACGCACATATTAAGTAATCAAACTTGAGTTATCTACCCACATATTAAGTAATATTACTCACAAAAAACACTTGCATTACCAAACGGTCTTCGGGCTGCTGTGATCTTCCAACAGTTATATGAATAATCACCCTAACCAAACGGTCTTCAAACTGCATAGATCTTAATGCAAAAGCTCACATCTGTTAGATCTTCCATAAGATCTTTCAAAAAAGACTTACCAAACTGCTCATAAAATTGGTGGAATGGAACTTCTGATCCAAGGGACTGGAAGAATAAATTATGGTTTCTTCCATTTTATTCACCTCATAGATCAAAAGGATCGTCCCACCAATCCACCATGACCAAGAAAGTTAAAACAAAACAATAAATTGAATATGACTACCTATCCGACGAGCAGATGGTTTTGTTTGGGCCAGCAACAAAATTCTTATTGGATCTCAGTTAAAACACGAAATGAAGCAAGGGATTTTCAGTTGTCAGACCCTGATTTATTCATAAGACAAATCTCAAATGCTTTCAAATTACATAGAAAACAACCGATTCTTATTAAATTGGAGAACGAGTTGCACCCTGCACACAAATCCACTGTGCTTTTTAGTATCGACGGTTCCACGTCCTGGAAGCTGAAATGAAACACGTCTCATAATATTAAACTTGTATTCCATAAACATCGAACCAATCAGTTAAGTTGGTTAAATTTACAGTTAGCACACAAGAAGCTTACCTTCCTTCGTTAGAGTCCAGTCCTTATCATATCCAAGTGCCCAGAAGAAGTACCCACCAAGGCGGCGTTCTCGGGCGAACTCCACTTTGTATCTGATGGACGTGGCATTATCGTAGCCAAGCCAATTGGTTCCTGCATAGGAGTAAGTGGACACTGTCTTTTTATCAAACTCCTCTGTTGCATTATTGGCCGCATTAAATTCCACAATCTGAAAGTACAGTAACACCCCATTATCGCCAGGACCCACGCCGACTGCTGGCGCTCCAATGCCGTGTACATTCGGGTCCTTCAGCTTCCATGTGCGACCATACAAGGGTAGACCCATGACCAGCTTCTTCGGCGGGACGCCCGCTCGGATCCACGACTGAATGCCGTAACTCGTGCTGATGTTGCTTGTCGAGTCATAGAGCAGCGCCTGCGCACCCGTGGCCGACGGCTCCCATGAGCCA